TAAACACCTGTATTTTCTGGATGATGGCTTTTGTAGTTCTCCAGGTTTCTGCCCCATACAGTAGAACTGTCTTGACATTTGTATTGAAAATCCTGACCTTGATGTTGGTTGACAGTTGCTTTGAGTTCCAGATGTTCCTCAGTTGTAAATATGCTGCTCTTGCTTTACCGATCCGCGCCTTCACATCTGCATCAGATCCACCCTGTTTATCAATGATGCTGCCCAAATATGTAAAGGTTATTACATCTTCCAAATCTTCTCCGTCAAGTGTGATTGGATTGGTGCATGCTGTGTTGCATCGGAGAATCCTGCTTTTCCCTTTGTGTATGTTGAGACCTACTGCTGCTGAGGCTGCTGCCACACTGTTTGTCTTCTCCTGCATCTGTTGTTGCGTTTGGGATAGAAGGGCCAGATCATCTGCGAAGTCTAGATCGTCCAGCTGCATCCTAGTTGTCCACTGTATCCCGTGTTTCCCTTCAGATGTTGACGTCTTCGTGATCCAGTCGATCACCAGGAGAAAGAGAAAGGGTGAGAGTAAGCAACCTTGCCTGACACTGGTCTTCACTTCGAACGACTTTGTCAACTGTCCTCCATGCACAATTTTGCAGTGTAATCCATCATATGAGTTCTGTATGATATTGACTATCTTCTGCGGCACGCCGTAGTGTCGAAGAAGTTTCCATAGTGTTGTCCTGTCCACGCTATCAAATGCCTTTTCGTAGTCAATGAAGTTGATGTTCATTGAAATGCCCTCTTTCTTTGTTTTAAACGAGGCTTTGATGATCCTTGGTCCATGAGATTCCCATCCTATAAGTGCATTTTGCGCTTGTTTGGACAGCATCAATGCAACTCCTTGTGTATGTGGAGCATTTTCTTCTTCATGGCCGGAGTATAACAGGAGCTCTCCTGTAGTTAGTCGTTGTTGTCCAACTTGTATCCAGTGTGTTTCACTGATCCCAAGTACCTCTAGCTTGTATCTTCTCATTTCTGCAGCAATCTGGAAGGCTCTTCCGGTGTCCCACATTGTACGAACATTCCATGTACCTAAATAAATGGTTGCTCTGGTTGTCAGAAGGGGCATCGGCCTCGTAACTTCCGAAGGAATTCGGCTTTCATCATGAGGCGTCATAATTCTTCTAAATGAAGATCTTCTGACTTCCAGGGCAGAGTTTAAAAGATTTGAATAATTTTTTCTGGTTAGCGTTTTTTAGCGAGTTAGTTTTCTACGGGATCGGGACGCTAACCCCATGCCCAACCCTCCTCCTTTATCCGGGCTTGGGACCGGCAGTAGCCCCCGGAGGGACTCCAGGCGGAGTTCAGTTTATGGTGTGGGTTACTTATATTCACATAAGTGGTATATAAAGGTGGTCAGGCATAGAATGTATTTCAATAGAAGATCGATAAGGAAAGAACGGGAACGGAGCGCAATCGGTCGGACAATGCATGAACAATGAAATCTGAGACAATGGAATGGTGTTCGCGAAAGGAACAGTCAAGTTTGAGACGATGGATTGACATTTTGCAAACTAACTATTTACTATATGCTCTATAATTTTGTGCTCAAATACATTCGGTTGTCCCCAATCGTGTTCTTGTTCACTACAAATTCATTAAACATTCCGATTGAGACATTAAGAATGCAAGTTGAGGGCAAAAAATACTGCATTTCAATTACGAACTTAGAATTTACTACTACGGATATATATCAAGGTATCTAAGAAACTAAATCGAAAGTAAAATCTCTGGTGATACCAGGAGAGGATTTAATCCTGAAATTTAAATTCAGAGTTAATGTAGCCAGCGAAATAGTAGTTTGGCCTGTAGGAAAAACCATAGAACGTACGTTCAGTGAAGCAAAATTATGTCGCGCCTTCTTCAACCAAACGATAGGGATTTCAAAAAAAGGAAAGTTGCCTAGTTCTCCTACTTCTACGTACGCTTACCACTTCAGCTGTTCTTGCGGAGCTAGATATATTGGACACATAACTAGACAAATACATCATAGTATTTCTGAACGTCACCCCTCATGATTGACCAAAGGATAAAAGAAAGTAATACGAGGCTCTGCCTTGAAGCACTTATTTGATACTGATCATCAGGTCGATATAAAACCGGCGTTTAAATTTGGCTATAAAATTCCACCGAACTCACCCTATGATATAGGAATCCAATTCTCACATAAAGCAGAAGCCATAAAATACATTTCTAAAAACTTAACCTCTGAAGTTACTCTGCCCTCCTACTTATATGCTATTACGTTTTTCAAAAACATCGTTTAAAACTTTTTTAACTTTGGTTGTGTGAGCATCTTAATTTTCAGTCCTAATCTTATGTAATTTGTTTAATAATCTCATTACCTAATTTGCATTGCACACGTCTTATTACTTACCTATGATTTGTCTCATAGATAACATATTGATTAAAAGCACACAGAGAGAGAGAGATGATGGCTAGCCCTGGAATCCAGTATGCATATTTTGACCCGTCAGCTAGATTTACCTGTATTCTAGTGTTTTAGTACTTTCTGGAACTGGAACCCAATACCTTTAATTGGAATATCAAAGCAATCTGCACAGGATGCACCTGTGACAACAGAGACTGAGTAATTGCAGTCCTCAACGTCAATAGCACGTTTCAAATAATCAATACAAATTAAAGAAATAATAATATTCATAACTAATTTCGGTTTCTATACCTACTATCATGTGACTAGTTGTGGTAATTAACTAATTATGAAAAGTCTACCTAGTTTTAGTTTCGATTTTTTATACATCGTTACAATATTGTTAAATTAACTCATCATCATCATCATCATCATCATCATCATCATCATCATCATCATCATCATCATCATCATCATCATCATCATCATCATCATCATCATCATCATCATCATCATCATCATCATCATCATCATCATCATCATCATCATCATCATCATCATCATCATCATCATCATCATCATCATCATCATCATCATCATCATCATCATCATCATCATCATCATCATCATCATCATCATCATCATCATCATCATCATCATCATCATCATCATCATCATCATCATCATCATCATCATCATCATCATCATCATCATCATCATCATCATCATCATCATCATCATCATCATCATCATCATCATCATCATCATCATCATCATCATCATCATCATCATCATCATCATCATCATCATCATCATCATCATCATCATCATCATCATCATCATCATCATCATCATCATCATCATCATCATCATCATCATCATCATCATCATCATCATCATCATCATCATCATCATCATCATCATCATCATCATCATCATCATCATCATCATCATCATCATCATCATCATCATCATCATCATCATCATCATCATCATCATCATCATCATCATCATCATCATCATCATCATCATCATCATCATCATCATCATCATCATCATCATCATCATCATCATCATCATCATCATCATCATCATCATCATCATCATCATCATCATCATCATCATCATCATCATCATCATCATCATCATCATCATCATCATCATCATCATCATCATCATCATCATCATCATCATCATCATCATCATCATCATCATCATCATCATCATCATCATCATCATCATCATCATCATCATCATCATCATCATCATCATCATCATCATCATCATCATCATCATCATCATCATCATCATCATCATCATCATCATCATCATCATCATCATCATCATCATCATCATCATCATCATCATCATCATCATCATCATCATCATCATCATCATCATCATCATCATCATCATCATCATCATCATCATCATCATCATCATCATCATCATCATCATCATCATCATCATCATCATCATCATCATCATCATCATCATCATCATCATCATCATCATCATCATCATCATCATCATCATCATCATCATCATCATCATCATCATCATCATCATCATCATCATCATCATCATCATCATCATCATCATCATCATCATCATCATCATCATCATCCATCATCATCATCATCATCATCATCATCATCATCATCATCATCATCATCATCATCATCATCATCATCATCATCATCATCATCATCATCATCATCATCATCATCATCATCATCATCATCATCATCATCATCATCATCATCATCATCATCATCATCATCATCATCATCATCATCATCATCATCATCATCATCATCATCATCATCATCATCATCATCATCATCATCATCATCATCATCATCATCATCATCATCATCATCATCATCATCATCATCATCATCATCATCATCATCATCATCATCATCATCATCATCATCATCATCATCATCATCATCATCATCATCATCATCATCATCATCATCATCATCATCATCATCATCATCATCATCATCATCATCATCATCATCATCATCATCATCATCATCATCATCATCATCATCATCATCATCATCATCATCATCATCATCATCATCATCCATCATCATCATCATCATCATCATCATCATCATCATCATCATCATCATCATCATCATCATCATCATCATCATCATCATCATCATCATCATCATCATCATCATCATCATCATCATCATCATCATCATCATCATCATCATCATCATCATCATCATCATCATCATCATCATCATCATCATCATCATCATCATCATCATCATCATCATCATCATCATCATCATCATCATCATCATCATCATCATCATCATCATCATCATCATCATCATCATCATCATCATCATCATCATCATCATCATCATCATCATCATCATCATCATCATCATCATCATCATCATCATCATCATCATCATCATCATCATCATCATCATCATCATCATCATCATCATCATCATCATCATCATCATCATCATCATCATCATCATCATCATCATCATCATCATCATCATCATCATCATCATCATCATCATCATCATCATCATCATCATCATCATCATCATCATCATCATCATCATCATCATCATCATCTCATCATCATCATCATCATCATCATCATCATCATCATCATCATCATCATCATCATCATCATCATCATCATCATCATCATCATCATCATCATCATCATCATCATCATCATCATCATCATCATCATCATCATCATCATCATCATCATCATCATCATCATCATCATCATCATCATCATCATCATCATCATCATCATCATCATCATCATCATCATCATCATCATCATCATCATCATCATCATCATCATCATCATCATCATCATCATCATCATCATCATCATCATCATCATCATCATCATCATCATCATCATCATCATCATCATCATCATCATCATCATCATCATCATCATCATCATCATCATCATCATCATCATCATCATCATCATCATCATCATCATCATCATCATCATCATCATCATCATCATCATCATCATCATCATCATCATCATCATCATCATCATCATCATCATCATCATCATCATCATCATCATCATCATCATCATCATCATCATCATCATCATCATCATCATCATCATCATCATCATCATCATCATCATCATCATCATCATCATCATCATCATCATCATCATCATCATCATCATCATCATCATCATCATCATCATCTCATCATCATCATCATCATCATCATCATCATCATCATCATCATCATCATCATCATCATCATCATCATCATCATCATCATCATCATCATCATCATCATCATCATCATCATCATCATCATCATCATCATCATCATCATCATCATCATCATCGTCATCATCATCATCATCATCATCATCATCATCATCATCATCATCATCATCATCATCATCATCATCATCATCATCATCATCATCATCATCATCATCATCATCATCATCATCATCATCATCATCATCATCATCATCATCATCATCATCATCATCATCATCATCATCATCATCATCATCATCATCATCATCATCATCATCATCATCATCATCATCATCATCATCATCATCATCATCATCATCATCATCATCATCATCATCATCATCATCATCATCATCATCATCATCATCATCATCATCATCATCATCATCATCATCATCATCATCATCATCATCATCATCATCATCATCATCATCATCATCATCATCATCATCATCATCATCATCATCATCATCATCATCATCATCATCATCATCATCATCATCATCATCATCATCATCATCATCATCATCATCATCATCATCATCATCATCATCATCATCATCATCATCATCATCATCATCATCATCATCATCATCATCATCATCATCATCATCATCATCATCATCATCATCATCATCATCATCATCATCATCATCATCATCATCATCATCATCATCATCATCATCATCATCATCATCATCATCATCATCATCATCATCATCATCATCATCATCATCATCATCATCATCATCATCATCATCATCATCATCATCATCATCATCATCATCATCATCATCATCATCATCATCATCATCATCATCATCATCATCATCATCATCATCATCATCATCATCATCATCATCATCATCATCATCATCATCATCATCATCATCATCATCATCATCATCATCATCATCATCATCATCATCATCATCATCATCATCATCATCATCATCATCATCATCATCATCATCATCATCATCATCATCATCATCATCATCATCATCATCATCATCATCATCATCATCATCATCATCATCATCATCATCATCATCATCATCATCATCATCATCATCATCATCATCATCATCATCATCATCATCATCATCATCATCATCATCATCATCATCATCATCATCATCATCATCATCATCATCATCATCATCATCATCATCATCATCATCATCATCATCATCATCATCATCATCATCATCATCATCATCATCATCATCATCATCATCATCATCATCATCATCATCATCATCATCATCATCATCATCATCATCATCATCATCATCATCATCATCATCATCATCATCATCATCATCATCATCATCATCATCATCATCATCATCATCATCATCATCATCATCATCATCATCATCATCATCATCATCATCATCATCATCATCATCATCATCATCATCATCATCATCATCATCATCATCATCATCATCATCATCATCATCATCATCATCATCATCATCATCATCATCATCATCATCATCATCATCATCATCATCATCATCATCATCATCATCATCATCATCATCATCATCATCATCATCATCATCATCATCATCATCATCATCATCATCATCATCATCATCATCATCATCATCATCATCATCATCATCATCATCATCATCATCATCATCATCATCATCATCATCATCATCATCATCATCATCATCATCATCATCATCATCATCATCATCATCATCATCATCATCATCATCATCATCATCATCATCATCATCATCATCATCATCATCATCATCATCATCATCATCATCATCATCATCATCATCATCATCATCATCATCATCATCATCATCATCATCATCATCATCATCATCATCATCATCATCATCATCATCATCATCATCATCATCATCATCATCATCATCATCATCATCATCATCATCATCATCATCATCATCATCATCATCATCATCATCATCATCATCATCATCATCATCATCATCATCATCATCATCATCATCATCATCATCATCATCATCATCATCATCATCATCATCATCATCATCATCATCATCATCATCATCATCATCATCATCATCATCATCATCATCATCATCATCATCATCATCATCATCATCATCATCATCATCATCATCATCATCATCATCATCATCATCATCATCATCATCATCATCATCATCATCATCATCATCATCATCATCATCATCATCATCATCATCATCATCATCATCATCATCATCATCATCATCATCATCATCATCATCATCATCATCATCATCATCATCATCATCATCATCATCATCATCATCATCATCATCATCATCATCATCATCATCATCATCATCATCATCATCATCATCATCATCATCATCATCATCATCATCATCATCATCATCATCATCATCATCATCATCATCATCATCATCATCATCATCATCATCATCATCATCATCATCATCATCATCATCATCATCATCATCATCATCATCATCATCATCATCATCATCATCATCATCATCATCATCATCATCATCATCATCATCATCATCATCATCATCATCATCATCATCATCATCATCATCATCATCATCATCATCATCATCATCATCATCATCATCATCATCATCATCATCATCATCATCATCATCATCATCATCATCATCATCATCATCATCATCATCATCATCATCATCATCATCATCATCATCATCATCATCATCATCATCATCATCATCATCATCATCATCATCATCATCATCATCATCATCATCATCATCATCATCATCATCATCATCATCATCATCATCATCATCATCATCATCATCATCATCATCATCATCATCATCATCATCATCATCATCATCATCATCATCATCATCATCATCATCATCATCATCATCATCATCATCATCATCATCATCATCATCATCATCATCATCATCATCATCATCATCATCATCATCATCATCATCATCATCATCATCATCATCATCATCATCATCATCATCATCATCATCATCATCATCATCATCATCATCATCATCATCATCATCATCATCATCATCATCATCATCATCATCATCATCATCATCATCATCATCATCATCATCATCATCATCATCATCATCATCATCATCATCATCATCATCATCATCATCATCATCATCATCATCATCATCATCATCATCATCATCATCATCATCATCATCATCATCATCATCATCATCATCATCATCATCATCATCATCATCATCATCATCATCATCATCATCATCATCATCATCATCATCATCATCATCATCATCATCATCATCATCATCATCATCATCATCATCATCATCATCATCATCATCATCATCATCATCATCATCATCATCATCATCATCATCATCATCATCATCATCATCATCATCATCATCATCATCATCATCATCATCATCATCATCATCATCATCATCATCATCATCATCATCATCATCATCATCATCATCATCATCATCATCATCATCATCATCATCATCATCATCATCATCATCATCATCATCATCATCATCATCATCATCATCATCATCATCATCATCATCATCATCATCATCATCATCATCATCATCATCATCATCATCATCATCATCATCATCATCATCATCATCATCATCATCATCATCATCATCATCATCATCATCATCATCATCATCATCATCATCATCATCATCATCATCATCATCATCATCATCATCATCATCATCATCATCATCATCATCATCATCATCATCATCATCATCATCATCATCATCATCATCATCATCATCATCATCATCATCATCATCATCATCATCATCATCATCATCATCATCATCATCATCATCATCATCATCATCATCATCATCATCATCATCATCATCATCATCATCATCATCATCATCATCATCATCATCATCATCATCATCATCATCATCATCATCATCATCATCATCATCATCATCATCATCATCATCATCATCATCATCATCATCATCATCATCATCATCATCATCATCATCATCATCATCATCATCATCATCATCATCATCATCATCATCATCATCATCATCATCATCATCATCATCATCATCATCATCATCATCATCATCATCATCATCATCATCATCATCATCATCATCATCATCATCATCATCATCATCATCATCATCATCATCATCATCATCATCATCATCATCATCATCATCATCATCATCATCATCATCATCATCATCATCATCATCATCATCATCATCATCATCATCATCATCATCATCATCATCATCATCATCATCATCATCATCATCATCATCATCATCATCATCATCATCATCATCATCATCATCATCATCATCATCATCATCATCATCATCATCATCATCATCATCATCATCATCATCATCATCATCATCATCATCATCATCATCATCATCATCATCATCATCATCATCATCATCATCATCATCATCATCATCATCATCATCATCATCATCATCATCATCATCATCATCATCATCATCATCATCATCATCATCATCATCATCATCATCATCATCATCATCATCATCATCATCATCATCATCATCATCATCATCATCATCATCATCATCATCATCATCATCATCATCATCATCATCATCATCATCATCATCATCATCATCATCATCATCATCATCATCATCATCATCATCATCATCATCATCATCATCATCATCATCATCATCATCATCATCATCATCATCATCATCATCATCATCATCATCATCATCATCATCATCATCATCATCATCATCATCATCATCATCATCATCATCATCATCATCATCATCATCATCATCATCATCATCATCATCATCATCATCATCATCATCATCATCATCATCATCATCATCATCATCATCATCATCATCATCATCATCATCATCATCATCATCATCATCATCATCATCATCATCATCATCATCATCATCATCATCATCATCATCATCATCATCATCATCATCATCATCATCATCATCATCATCATCATCATCATCATCATCATCATCATCATCATCATCATCATCATCATCATCATCATCATCATCATCATCATCATCATCATCATCATCATCATCATCATCATCATCATCATCATCATCATCATCATCATCATCATCATCATCATCATCATCATCATCATCATCATCATCATCATCATCATCATCATCATCATCATCATCATCATCATCATCATCATCATCATCATCATCATCATCATCATCATCATCATCATCATCATCATCATCATCATCATCATCATCATCATCATCATCATCATCATCATCATCATCATCATCATCATCATCATCATCATCATCATCATCATCATCATCATCATCATCATCATCATCATCATCATCATCATCATCATCATCATCATCATCATCATCATCATCATCATCATCATCATCATCATCATCATCATCATCATCATCATCATCATCATCATCATCATCATCATCATCATCATCATCATCATCATCATCATCATCATCATCATCATCATCATCATCATCATCATCATCATCATCATCATCATCATCATCATCATCATCATCATCATCATCATCATCATCATCATCATCATCATCATCATCATCATCATCATCATCATCATCATCATCATCATCATCATCATCATCATCATCATCATCATCATCATCATCATCATCATCATCATCATCATCATCATCATCATCATCATCATCATCATCATCCTCATCATCATCATCATCATCATCATCATCATCATCATCATCATCATCATCATCATCATCATCATCATCATCATCATCATCATCATCATCATCATCATCATCATCATCATCATCATCATCATCATCATCATCATCATCATCATCATCATCTCATCATCATCATCATCATCATCATCATCATCATCATCATCATCATCATCATCATCATCATCATCATCATCATCATCATCATCATCATCATCATCATCATCATCATCATCATCATCATCATCATCATCATCATCATCATCATCATCATCATCATCATCATCATCATCATCATCATCATCATCATCATCATCATCATCATCATCATCATCATCATCATCATCATCATCATCATCATCATCATCATCATCATCATCATCATCATCATCATCATCATCATCATCTCATCATCATCATCATCATCATCATCATCATCATCATCATCATCATCATCATCATCATCATCATCATCATCATCATCATCATCATCATCATCATCATCATCATCATCATCATCATCATCATCATCATCATCATCATCATCATCATCATCGTCATCATCATCATCATCATCATCATCATCATCATCATCATCATCATCATCATCATCATCATCATCATCATCATCATCATCATCATCATCATCATCATCATCATCATCATCATCATCATCATCATCATCATCATCATCATCATCATCATCATCATCATCATCATCATCATCATCATCATCATCATCATCATCATCATCATCATCATCATCATCATCATCATCATCATCATCATCATCATCATCATCATCATCATCATCATCATCATCATCATCATCATCATCATCATCATCATCATCATCATCATCATCATCATCATCATCATCATCATCATCATCATCATCATCATCATCATCATCATCATCATCATCATCATCATCATCATCATCATCATCATCATCATCATCATCATCATCATCATCATCATCATCATCATCATCATCATCATCATCATCATCATCATCATCATCATCATCATCATCATCATCATCATCATCATCATCATCATCATCATCATCATCATCATCATCATCATCATCATCATCATCATCATCATCATCATCATCATCATCATCATCATCATCATCATCATCATCATCATCATCATCATCATCATCATCATCATCATCATCATCATCATCATCATCATCATCATCATCATCATCATCATCATCATCATCATCATCATCATCATCATCATCATCATCATCATCATCATCATCATCATCATCATCATCATCATCATCATCATCATCATCATCATCATCATCATCATCATCATCATCATCATCATCATCATCATCATCATCATCATCATCATCATCATCATCATCATCATCATCATCATCATCATCATCATCATCATCATCATCATCATCATCATCATCATCATCATCATCATCATCATCATCATCATCATCATCATCATCATCATCATCATCATCATCATCATCATCATCATCATCATCATCATCATCATCATCATCATCATCATCATCATCATCATCATCATCATCATCATCATCATCATCATCATCATCATCATCATCATCATCATCATCATCATCATCATCATCATCATCATCATCATCATCATCATCATCATCATCATCATCATCATCATCATCATCATCATCATCATCATCATCATCATCATCATCATCATCATCATCATCATCATCATCATCATCATCATCATCATCATCATCATCATCATCATCATCATCATCATCATCATCATCATCATCATCATCATCATCATCATCATCATCATCATCATCATCATCATCATCATCATCATCATCATCATCATCATCATCATCATCATCATCATCATCATCATCATCATCATCATCATCATCATCATCATCATCATCATCATCATCATCATCATCATCATCATCATCATCATCATCATCATCATCATCATCATCATCATCATCATCATCATCATCATCATCATCATCATCATCATCATCATCATCATCATCATCATCATCATCATCATCATCATCATCATCATCATCATCATCATCATCATCATCATCATCATCATCATCATCATCATCATCATCATCATCATCATCATCATCATCATCATCATCATCATCATCATCATCATCATCATCATCATCATCATCATCATCATCATCATCATCATCATCATCATCATCATCATCATCATCATCATCATCATCATCATCATCATCATCATCATCATCATCATCATCATCATCATCATCATCATCATCATCATCATCATCATCATCATCATCATCATCATCATCATCATCATCATCATCATCATCATCATCATCATCATCATCATCATCATCATCATCATCATCATCATCATCATCATCATCATCATCATCATCATCATCATCATCATCATCATCATCATCATCATCATCATCATCATCATCATCATCATCATCATCATCATCATCATCATCATCATCATCATCATCATCATCATCATCATCATCATCATCATCATCATCATCATCATCATCATCATCATCATCATCATCATCATCATCATCATCATCATCATCATCATCATCATCATCATCATCATCATCATCATCATCATCATCATCATCATCATCATCATCATCATCATCATCATCATCATCATCATCATCATCATCATCATCATCATCATCATCATCATCATCATCATCATCATCATCATCATCATCATCATCATCATCATCATCATCATCATCATCATCATCATCATCATCATCATCATCATCATCATCATCATCATCATCATCATCATCATCATCATCATCATCATCATCATCATCATCATCATCATCATCATCATCATCATCATCATCATCATCATCATCATCATCATCATCATCATCATCATCATCATCATCATCATCATCATCATCATCATCATCATCATCATCATCATCATCATCATCATCATCATCATCATCATCATCATCATCATCATCATCATCATCATCATCATCATCATCATCATCATCATCATCATCATCATCATCATCATCATCATCATCATCATCATCACATCATCATCATCATCATCATCATCATCATCATCATCATCATCATCATCATCATCATCATCATCATCATCATCATCATCATCATCATCATCATCATCATCATCATCATCATCATCATCATCATCATCATCATCATCATCATCATCATCATCATCATCATCATCATCATCATCATCATCATCATCATCATCATCATCATCATCATCATCATCATCATCATCATCATCATCATCATCATCATCATCATCATCATCATCATCATCATCATCATCATCATCATCATCATCATCATCATCATCATCATCATCATCATCATCATCATCATCATCATCATCATCATCATCATCATCATCATCATCATCATCATCATCATCATCATCATCATCATCATCATCATCATCATCATCATCATCATCATCATCATCATCATCATCATCATCATCATCATCATCATCATCATCATCATCATCATCATCATCATCATCATCATCATCATCTCATCATCATCATCATCATCATCATCATCATCATCATCATCATCATCATCATCATCATCATCATCATCATCATCATCATCATCATCATCATCATCATCATCATCATCATCATCATCATCATCATCATCATCATCATCATCATCATCATCATCATCATCATCATCATCATCATCATCATCATCATCATCATCATCATCATCATCATCATCATCATCATCATCATCATCATCATCATCATCATCATCATCATCATCATCATCATCATCATCATCATCATCATCATCATCATCATCATCATCATCATCATCATCATCATCATCATCATCATCATCATCATCATCATCATCATCATCATCATCATCATCATCATCATCATCATCATCATCATCATCATCATCATCATCATCATCATCATCATCATCATCATCATCATCATCATCATCATCATCATCATCATCATCATCATCATCATCATCATCATCATCATCATCATCATATCATCATCATCATCATCATCATCATCATCATCATCATCATCATCATCATCATCATCATCATCATCATCATCATCATCATCATCATCATCATCATCATCATCATCATCATCATCATCATCATCATCATCATCATCATCATCATCATCATCATCATCATCATCATCATCATCATCATCATCATCATCATCATCATCATCATCATCATCATCATCATCATCATCATCATCATCATCATCATCATCATCATCATCATCATCATCATCATCATCATCATCATCATCATCTCATCATCATCATCATCATCCTCATCATCATCATCATCATCATCATCATCATCATCATCATCATCATCATCATCATCATCATCATCATCATCATCATCATCATCATCATCATCATCATCATCATCATCATCATCATCATCATCATCATCATCATCATCATCATCATCATCATCATCATCATCATCATCATCATCATCATCATCATCATCATCATCATCATCATCATCATCATCATCATCATCATCATCATCATCATCATCATCATCATCATCATCATCATCATCATCATCATCATCATCATCATCATCATCATCATCATCATCATCATCATCATCATCATCATCATCATCATCATCATCATCATCATCATCATCATCATCATCATCATCATCATCATCATCATCATCATCATCATCATCATCATCATCATCATCATCATCATCATCATCATCATCATCATCATCATCATCATCATCATCATCATCATCATCATCATCATCATCATCATCATCATCATCATCATCATCATCATCATCATCATCATCATCATCATCATCATCATCATCATCATCATCATCATCATCATCATCATCATCATCATCATCATCATCATCATCATCATCATCATCATCATCATCATCATCATCATCATCATCATCATCATCATCATCATCATCATCATCATCATCATCATCATCATCATCATCATCATCATCATCATCATCATCATCATCATCATCATCATCATCATCATCATCATCATCATCATCATCATCATCATCATCATCATCATCATCATCATCATCATCATCATCATCATCATCATCATCATCATCATCATCATCATCATCATCATCATCATCATCATCATCATCATCATCATCATCATCATCATCATCATCATCATCATCATCATCATCATCATCATCATCATCATCATCATCATCATCATCATCATCATCATCATCATCATCATCATCATCATCATCATCATCATCATCATCATCATCATCATCATCATCATCATCATCATCATCATCATCATCATCATCATCATCATCATCATCATCATCATCATCATCATCATCATCATCATCATCATCATCATCATCATCATCATCATCATCATCATCATCATCATCATCATCATCATCATCATCATCATCATCATCATCATCATCATCATCATCATCATCATCATCATCATCATCATCATCATCATCATCATCATCATCATCATCATCATCATCATCATCATCATCATCATCATCATCATCATCATCATCATCATCATCATCATCATCATCATCATCATCATCATCATCATCATCATCATCATCATCATCATCATCATCATCATCATCATCATCATCATCATCATCATCATCATCATCATCATCATCATCATCATCATCATCATCATCATCATCATCATCATCATCATCATCATCATCATCATCATCATCATCATCATCATCATCATCATCATCATCATCATCATCATCATCATCATCATCATCATCATCATCATCATCATCATCATCATCATCATCATCATCATCATCATCATCATCATCATCATCATCATCATCATCATCATCATCATCATCATCATCATCATCATCATCATCATCATCATCATCATCATCATCATCATCATCATCATCATCATCATCATCATCATCATCATCATCATCATCATCATCATCATCATCATCATCATCATCATCATCATCATCATCATCATCATCATCATCATCATCATCATCATCATCATCATCATCATCATCATCATCATCATCATCATCATCATCATCATCATCATCATCATCATCATCATCATCATCATCATCATCATCATCATCATCATCATCATCATCATCATCATCATCATCATCATCATCATCATCATCATCATCATCATCATCATCATCATCATCATCATCATCATCATCATCATCATCATCATCATCATCATCATCATCATCATCATCATCATCATCATCATCATCATCATCATCATCATCATCATCATCATCATCATCATCATCATCATCATCATCATCATCATCATCATCATCATCATCATCATCATCATCATCATCATCATCATCATCATCATCATCATCATCATCATCATCATCATCATCATCATCATCATCATCATCATCATCATCATCATCATCATCATCATCATCATCATCATCATCATCATCATCATCATCATCATCATCATCATCATCATCATCATCATCATCATCATCATCATCATCATCATCATCATCATCATCATCATCATCATCATCATCATCATCATCATCATCATCATCATCATCATCATCTCATCATCATCATCATCATCATCATCATCATCATCATCATCATCATCATCATCATCATCATCATCATCATCATCATCATCATCATCATCATCATCATCATCATCATCATCATCATCATCATCATCATCATCATCATCATCATCATCATCGTCATCATCATCATCATCATCATCATCATCATCATCATCATCATCATCATCATCATCATCATCATCATCATCATCATCATCATCATCATCATCATCATCATCATCATCATCATCATCATCATCATCATCATCATCATCATCATCATCATCATCATCATCATCATCATCATCATCATCATCATCATCATCATCATCATCATCATCATCATCATCATCATCATCACATCATCATCATCATCATCATCATCATCATCATCATCATCATCATCATCATCATCATCATCATCATCATCATCATCATCATCATCATCATCATCATCATCATCATCATCATCATCATCATCATCATCATCATCATCATCATCATCATCATCATCATCATCATCATCATCATCATCATCATCATCATCATCATCATCATCATCATCATCATCATCATCATCATCATCATCATCATCATCATCATCATCATCATCATCATCATCATCATCATCATCATCATCATCATCATCATCATCATCATCATCATCATCATCATCATCATCATCATCATCATCATCATCATCATCATCATCATCATCATCATCATCATCATCATCATCATCATCATCATCATCATCATCATCATCATCATCATCATCATCATCATCATCATCATCATCATCATCATCATCATCATCATCATCATCATCATCATCATCATCATCATCATCATCATCATCATCATCATCATCATCATCATCATCATCATCATCATCATCATCATCATCATCATCATCATCATCATCATCATCATCATCATCATCATCATCATCATCATCATCATCATCATCATCATCATCATCATCATCATCATCATCATCATCATCATCATCATCATCATCATCATCATCATCATCATCATCATCATCATCATCATCATCATCATCATCATCATCATCATCATCATCATCATCATCATCATCATCATCATCATCATCATCATCATCATCATCATCATCATCATCATCATCATCATCATCATCATCATCATCATCATCATCATCATCATCATCATCATCATCATCATCATCATCATCATCATCATCATCATCATCATCATCATCATCATCATCATCATCATCATCATCATCATCATCATCATCATCATCATCATCATCATCATCATCATCATCATCATCATCATCATCATCATCATCATCATCATCATCATCATCATCATCATCATCATCATCATCATCATCATCATCATCATCATCATCATCATCATCATCATCATCATCATCATCATCATCATCATCATCATCATCATCATCATCATCATCATCATCATCATCATCATCATCATCATCATCATCATCATCATCATCATCATCATCATCATCATCATCATCATCATCATCATCATCATCATCATCATCATCATCATCATCATCATCATCATCATCATCATCATCATCATCATCATCATCATCATCATCATCATCATCATCATCATCATCATCATCATCATCATCATCATCATCATCATCATCATCATCATCATCATCATCATCATCATCATCATCATCATCATCATCATCATCATCATCATCATCATCATCATCATCATCATCATCATCATCATCATCATCATCATCATCATCATCATCATCATCATCATCATCATCATCATCATCATCATCATCATCATCATCATCATCATCATCATCATCATCATCATCATCATCATCATCATCATCATCATCATCATCATCATCATCATCATCATCATCATCATCATCATCATCATCATCATCATCATCATCATCATCATCATCATCATCATCATCATCATCATCATCATCATCATCATCATCATCATCATCATCATCATCATCATCATCATCATCATCATCATCATCATCATCATCATCATCATCATCATCATCATCATCATCATCATCATCATCATCATCATCATCATCATCATCATCATCATCATCATCATCATCATCATCATCATCATCATCATCATCATCATCATCATCATCATCATCATCATCATCATCATCATCATCATCATCATCATCATCATCATCATCATCATCATCATCATCATCATCATCATCATCATCATCATCATCATCATCATCATCATCATCATCATCATCATCATCATCATCATCATCATCATCATCATCATCATCATCATCATCATCATCATCATCATCATCATCATCATCATCATCATCATCATCATCATCATCATCATCATCATCATCATCATCATCATCATCATCATCATCATCATCATCATCATCATCATCATCATCATCATCATCATCATCATCATCATCATCATCATCATCATCATCATCATCATCATCATCATCATCATCATCATCATCATCATCATCATCATCATCATCATCATCATCATCATCATCATCATCATCATCATCATCATCATCATCATCATCATCATCATCATCATCATCATCATCATCATCATCATCATCATCATCATCATCATCATCATCATCATCATCATCATCATCATCATCATCATCATCATCATCATCATCATCATCATCATCATCATCATCATCATCATCATCATCATCATCATCATCATCATCATCATCATCATCATCATCATCATCATCATCATCATCATCATCATCATCATCATCATCATCATCATCATCATCATCATCATCATCATCATCATCATCATCATCATCATCATCATCATCATCATCATCATCATCATCATCATCATCATCATCATCATCATCATCATCATCATCATCATCATCATCATCATCATCATCATCATCATCATCATCATCATCATCATCATCATCATCATCATCATCATCATCATCATCATCATCATCATCATCATCATCATCATCATCATCATCATCATCATCATCATCATCATCATCATCATCATCATCATCATCATCATCATCATCATCATCATCATCATCATCATCATCATCATCATCATCATCATCATCATCATCATCATCATCATCATCATCATCATCATCATCATCATCATCATCATCATCATCATCATCATCATCATCATCATCATCATCATCAATCATCATCATCATCATCATCATCATCATCATCATCATCATCATCATCATCATCATCATCATCATCATCATCATCATCATCATCATCATCATCATCATCATCATCATCATCATCATCATCATCATCATCATCATCATCCATCATCATCATCATCATCATCATCATCATCATCATCATCATCATCATCATCATCATCAGTCAGCATCATCATCATCATCATCATCATCATCATCATCATCATCATCATCATCATCATCATCATCATCATCATCATCATCATCATCATCATCATCATCATCATCATCATCATCATCATCATCATCATCATCATCATCATCAATCATCATCAATCATCATCAATCATCATCAATCATCATCAATCATCATCAATCATCATCAATCATCATCATCATCATCATCATCATCATCATCATCATCATCAATCATCATCATCATCATCATCATCATCATCATCATCATCATCATCATCATCATCATCATCATCATCATCATCATCATCATCAATCATCATCATCAATCATCATCATCATCATCATCATCATCATCATCATCATCATCATCATCATCAATCATCATCATCATCAATCATCATCATCATCATCAATCATCATCATCATCATCAATCATCATCATCAATCATCATCAATCATCATCAATCATCATCAATCATCATCATCAATCATCATCATCAATCATCATCATCAATCATCATCATCAATCATCATCATCAATCATCATCATCATCATCATCATCATCATCATCATCATCATCATCATCATCATCATCATCATCATCATCATCATCATCATCATCATCATCTCATCATCATCATCATCATCATCATCATCATCATCATCATCATCATCATCATCATCATCATCATCATCATCATCATCATCATCATCATCATCATCATCATCATCATCATCATCATCAGTCATCATCATCATCATCATCATCATCATCATCATCATCATCATCATCATCATCATCATCATCATCATCTCATCATCATCATCATCATCATCATCATCATCATCATCATCATCATCATCATCCTCATCATCATCATCATCATCATCATCATCATCATCATCATCATCATCATCATCATCATCATCATCATCATCATCATCATCATCATCATCATCATCATCATCATCATCATTCATCATCATCATCATCATCATCATCATCATCATCATCATCATCATCATCATCTCATCATCATCATCATCATCATCATCATCATCATCATCATCATCATCATCATCATCATCATCATCATCATCATCATCATCATCATCATCATCATCATCATCATCATCATCATCATCATCATCATCATCATCATCATCATCATCATCATCATCATCATCATCATCATCATCATCATCATCATCATCATCATCATCATCATCATCATCATCATCATCATATCATCATCATCATCATCATCATCATCATCATCATCATCATCATCATCATCATCATCATCAGCATCATCATCATCATCATCATCATCATCATCATCATCATCATCATCATCATCATCATCATCATCATCATGCAGTCATCATCATCATCATCATCATCATCATCATCATCATCATCATCATCATCATCATCATCATCATCATCATCATCATCATCATCATCATCATCATCATCATCATCATCATCATCATCATCATCATGCATCATCATCATCATCATCATCATCATCATCATCATCATCATCATCATCATCATCATCATCATCATCATCATCATCATCATCATCATCATCATCATCATCATCATCATCATCATCATCATCATCATCATCATCATCCATCATCATCATCATCATCATCATCATCATCATCATCATCATCATCATCATCATCATCATCATCATCATCATCATCATCATCATCATCATCATCATCATCATCATCATCATCATCATCATCATCATCATCATCATCATCATCATCATCATCATCATCATCATCATCATCATCATCATCATCATCATCATCATCATCATCATCATCATCATCATCATCATCATCATCATCATCATCATCATCATCATCATCTCATCATCATCATCATCATCATCATCATCATCATCATCATCATCATCATCATCATCATCATCATCATCATCATCATCATCATCATCATCATCATCATCATCATCATCATCATCATCATCATCATCATCATCATCATCATCATCATCATCAATCATCATCATCATCATCATCATCATCATCATCATCATCATCATCATCATCATCATCATCATCATCATCATCATCATCATCATCATCATCATCATCATCATCATCATCATCATCATCATCCATCATCATCATCATCATCATCATCATCATCATCATCATCATCATCATCATCATCATCATCATCATCATCATCATCATCATCATCATCATCATCATCATCATCATCATCATCATCATCATCATCATCATCATCATCATCATCATCATCATCATCATCATCATCATCATCATCATCATCATCATCATCATCATCATCATCATCATCATCATCATCATCATCATCATCATCATCATCATCATCATCATCATCATCATCATCATCATCATCATCATCATCATCATCATCATCATCATCATCATCATCATCTCATCATCATCATCATCAATCATCATCATCATCATCATCATCATCATCATCATCATCATCATCATCATCATCATCATCATAATCATCATCATCATCAATCATCATCATCATCATCATCATCATCATCATCATCATCATCATCATCATCATCATCATCATCATCATCATCATCATCATCATCATCATCATCAATCATCATCATCATCATCATCATCATCATCATCATCATCATCATCATCATCATCATCATCATCATCATCATCATCATCATCATCATCATCATCATCATCATCATCATCATCATCATCATCATCATCATCATCATCATCATCATCATCATCATCATCATCATCATCAATCATCATCATCATCATCATCATCATCATCATCATCATCATCATCATCATCATCATCATCATCATCATCATCATCATCATCATCATCATCATCATCATCATCATCATCATCATCATCATCATCATCATCATCATCATCATCATCATCATCATCATCATCATCATCATCATCATCATCATCATCATCATCATCATCATCATCATCATCATCATCATCATCATCATCATCATCATCATCATCATCATCATCATCATCATCATCATCATCATCATCATCATCATCATCATCATACCATCATCATCATCATCATCATCATCATCATCATCATCATCATCATCACCTCATCATCATCATCATCATCATCATCATCATCATCATCATCATCATCATCATCATCATCATCATCATCATCATCATCATCATCATCATCATCATCATCATCATCATCATCATCATCATCATCATCATCATCATCATCATCATTCATCATCATCATCATCATCATCATCATCATCATCATCATCATCATCATCATCATCATCATCATCATCATCATCATCATCATCATCATCATCATCATCATCATCATCATCATCATCATCATCATCATCATCATCATCATCATCATCATCATCATCATCATCATCATCATCATCATCATCATCATCATCATCATCATCATCATCATCATCATCATTCATCATCATCATCATCATCATCATCATCATCATCATCATCATCATCATCATCATCATCATCATCATCATCATCATCATCATCATCATCATCATCATCATCATCATCATCATCATCATCATCATCATCATCATCATCATCATCATCATCATCATCATCATCATCATCATCATCATCATCATCATCATCATCATCATCATCATCATCATCATCATCATCATCATCATCATCATCATCATCATCATCATCATCATCATCATCATCATCATCATCATCATCATCATCATCATCATCATCATACCATCATCATCATCATCATCATCATCATCATCATCATCATCATCATCATCATCATCATCATCATCATCATCATCATCATCATCATCATCATCATCATCATCATCATCATCATCATCATCATCATCATCATCATCATCATCATCATCATCATCATCATCATCATCATCATCATCATCATCATCATCATCATCATCATCATCATCATCATCATCATCATCATCATCATCATCATCATCATCATCATCATCATCATCATCATCATCATCATCATCATCATCATCATCATCATCATCATCATCATCATCATCATCATCATCATCATCATCATCATCATCATCATCATCATCATCATCATCATCATCATCATCATCATCATCATCATCATCATCATCATCATCATCATCATCATCATCATCATCATCATCATCATCATCATCATCATCATCATCATCATCATCATCATCATCATCATCATCATCATCATCATCATCATCATCATCATCATCATCATCATCATCATCATCATCATCATCATCATCATCATCATCATCATCATCATCATCATCATCATCATCATCATCATCATCATCTATCCATTGATTTTCTTCTCACATTTATAGTTGATCTATTAGTGCAGAGCCCTAATAAAGATGTAACTGAAAAGAAATGTTTTTTCTCTCAACTGCTATTTTTAGTACCTGTCAATTAGTTTCACTGATACTGGAACTTAAAACAATAGTAACTGCTTCCAATATCCAATATTAATCAGCAAGATGAGTTAGAAATAAACTGAATTACACATTCTGAACTACCTTACTAATTATCACCTATTATTCAATATTTTTTTTCATTGTGTCACATAATTTAATGCTGTATAGGAAATCCACATGTCGACTTATATAAAAATCATCAAATTATCCCTTTTGAAGTTGTCATTCTTAAAAAACATCATAAGGTGAGAATGGGCGAAATACCATCGGTGAATCAGAAATCCCTGTTCATGCGCCTACAATTCAGAGGGGATGCTGCCAGCGAAATATTAACTCAAAGATTACACAGGACAGTACAAAAGTCTTTCAACTCCTGAGAACTACGTTTAGTTTTTTCTACGCACCCAGTCGTGACACTGAGGCTAAAAGATGAATTACCTAGAATGACCACCTCATTTTGTATTTATCAGTCTGACTGCTCCTGTGGAGCGAATTGTATTGGTCGAAGTTCTAAAAATTTACGTTTCCGTGCTCACGGACACCTCCCAGCAAAGGTTTGATGAAGAAAGTGAACGGATCAACTTTGGCCCAATTAGTACAAGCTGGCCATAGTGTCAGTTTAAACCAATCCCTTTCATTTATTAATAAGATTAGTAATTTTTTTCAGACTTAAAGTTATTCAAACGGCTAAAGCAGTAGCCATCCGTATGAAGAAACCTGAGCTATCCATACAAAAGAAATATCTTCATCCCCTTCTCCTCCCCTGGCCAACCTCAAGGCCAATTAATCAATAGTAATATTAGCTATTGAGTGACCTAACTTGACTATTGTTCTTACGACCTTTCGTGGTCAAATGAAATTTTCTCTGTTATCTTTGTTCACAAATCTTTGTATTATTATTATTGTTGGTTAAACATCATTATCAATCTCCCCAATACATGATTCATTCACTTCGCATTCATCCCTTCTTATTAAGTCGTAAGAATTTTCTGCACAATACAGTCTTCCACTAAACATTTGATCGAATTGTCATTTCACTATTATTTCTCTCACCCTATCTGATCCACATTTATTCAGATCATGGATCTTAAACTTTCATTTAACGTGTTAGCTGATTCAAGTTAACAATCTATATGAATCATATCAACATTAACAATTTTATTCTATTTTGTTTGACAATCCTGAATTCATATGCTTTAAACGATGCACTTTACCCTTAATCTGGCCACTTTTTCGGATTATTAATTTGGCTATATGAATTGTAGAACCTGAAGAGAATTTGTCTAGGAGTAAATACTGAGGTTTATTGTAGCTATCTCCATACTAAGATTCAAACTCATTTTATGTGTACTATTGATTTTCTATCCTGAGTGGTGTGATACATATTACTTTCACTAGTGTGTTCATGCCAGATCACAGTTTATTTTATCTAAACATCCGTGTCTTAA